ATGTCAACATCGTGTGTTGACACTGATATCTCACTACCGCGAGATGGACCAAGGTTGAGGTCCACAACTTTGCTCGGGTTAGGATTTCATTGATTTTCTCTGGAAAATTTTCTGTCTTTCCGACACTCATCGAAGAAGTTCATCACTTTGAAGCAAACTGTGCTTCATCGACGAGAGCTTGCAATCTGATTGCTGGGAGCGATCAACATGAACACATGATGTGTGCAGGGATGGCGCCGCGGTCGATTTTGTTGTAGTAAGAAGACACTGACAAAGAAAATTAGTCGAACGTTCATTCCGTGTGTAACATTCTAGGAGAAAGTCTTAACAGAGGTAGTTGCGCCCGGAATGGCGCAGTGTTCCCTCAACTGCAAGGAATATCGATTAGTGCTAACCAAAAGCATAGTTGAACACTGGCTTATGGGACTGGTCTTGGAATAGAATAAATCCCATCTAGGCGCTCTGATTCAAACAAACGTCCTTGAACTCAGAAGTAACGCATAAAGTTGCTGAAAACTCTTCGGCAGCCCATGACTGGCCTCGCCCTTACTGAGGCTCATCCGCTATGCGCACTCCCCGAGTTTTCCTCAACTTTATGTTCTGTCTGAACTCAAATTGCGCGAACATCATAAACGGGGGATTCAGCGGGATTCAGCGTGCCCCCTTCAGGGCCAAATTGAAATGCAGATGAGTGTATAAGTCGAGGTCCTTGAACTTGTGTCTCTGCCAAATCTGTCACGACTTCTGTTATTTGCCCTTTCCACAGGATGGCGTTATCGTCCTCAGTGTCATTACCCGATACCGTCAGAAGTTCGTATCCACCGTATTCTACAAGCCTATACAAGATTAAGAGCTTGGTTACCGCCCCGATCGGGGGCGACGTTGTACAGTGGACAATCAACACCCCGAAACCTGTTCATGTGCTTCGGGCCCACCCCTGGCACAATCCACTTGGCACCCGTGTATCATCATCCCCTCCCCCCACTCCCGTATCCTCTTTACCAGTTGACCGAGTATTGTAATGGCATTTCTCCCGCTCTTTCCTGCTTCTCTAGTTGTCAGTTCGCTTGTGTAACAGACCCCCCCCCCGCCGCTGCCAATGGTCACACCCAATGCGACACTATTTTTCTACGCCTTATCATCCGAGACCCAATTTCAGGTAGTATCATTCTCTCTACACGTTCTGTTTTTTTTTGGAAACTCCTCACAGAGCTGATAATGCTGTTGTTCACTGGTGGACTGGAAGGATGTTCACAACACATGATGGAACCTACTCTTTCTCTCTACTCTGTTTTTTTGGAAACTCCTCACAGAGCTGATAATGCTGTTGTTCACTGGTGGACTGGAAGGATGTTCACAACACATGATGGAACCTACTCTTTGCATTACCGGTCTATTTTACCCTGTATGCTCTGCCCCTGTCTCCCTCTCTTCACTGAGTTGCGTCTTTAAAAATAGTGACTACGAATGCAATCGAACAGCGTTTTGGTTTCGCCTCCCGCTTGGGAAAGATCCGTATGGTTTAACACTGTTTGGCCACTGAAAGGACTCCATCCGCTGGCGATCCTGCGAAATACTGATAGGTTCATTTCTCTTTATCCTGTTCACCGAGTTTGTTAGCTGGTCTGCAAATGTTTCATCATTTCCCCATAAGGAACAATCGTGTGCTGTTCGATGAGTCTCTCCTTGTGGTTATGTGACATGTGACAGTATCTTATATCTTCAACGTGATTGGTTGGTTGAGTCTCGTTTTCTCGTCGGTTTCAAATCTGTGGTGTAGTATCCAATTAGTTTCTCGAATAGCGTCGTTTCATCAGGTTCGGTTGTTCGTCTTGATCGATTTACGTTAAATCTCCATTGCGTCGTGGTACGCAAGTCCTCGCATCGATTGGCCATCTCACTTCCTCATCCTCTCTCTGGTACGTTGTTGAGAGTCTCCTAGCGTTCTTACTGAACTTTGCAAAGTTGTTTGATTTGCAGACCACCTACCCAGTTCAAGGAATGTATCAACAATAAGGTTGTAGCCGGGTTCACGATAGCGCTAACCAGTGAGATATGCATCTCTTAACTCCCACCTGGTGAGCCTCACTCATTCATTGATCAGAACACACTTTCACTTTTAGCATTCAGTAAAATTCCAAGCTTTTGCATTGATCTTGCGCGAGGATCGATGGTTGGATCCGGTCTGGGGAAAGTCACTCCGTCGTTTGTTTTCGGATGGACCGGCTCCACTGATATACATCCTGAGATGGACATATGCTTTAGAGTTCTCCTGGACTGTCATGAAACTTGAGCTCCTTTTACCGTTGTCCGGTTATTCCACCCTTCAAGTTAGTAATTCGACATTGGTAGCAGCCCGTGCGGGCGAGATGCACCAAGTGGTAAGAGCGCGAATTTACTGACCGGAAGGTCCGCGGTTCGGACCCGACCTCTGCCATTCGACTTTCCCTCTCTAGACTTGGGCAACCTGGCAGCATCCCAGCCCTCGTGTGGCATGGCAGCTAGGCACCGAAAGGTTGCTACAGCTGGACGGTTATTTTTACCAAACAACCACAATGTCCATTTAACCACAATAAAACCGCAAAATGAAAACAGAGGAGTGGATGAGGGAGATGTTAACCTACCGGAAGCATTCTCAGGTATCTACATTTCCAAATGCTCAATCAGACAATCTGAAGAGAGAGAGAAGCTGTCAGCACAACACCATTACTTTTAGAGCCTCCAACCGGGAGGGTCACGGGGACCCCACTCTGGAGGGCGGACCGCACGAGCAACACAAACCTTTCGCAACCGCTTTCACACACTTCCGCCAAGTCATGCATGCGTTGTCCACCTCGCGGTTTGCGCCATTCTGAAGAGGGTACGGATAGCGACACTCGTCTCGGTAGACGATGTTTCGACATGCCGCTGCAGTTGGTGGTGCCGAATGTTGTCCGTGGCTCAAACGAATACTCGCTTTCTAATAACGTGTTTGTTGACGCCATCCGATACGAGAAATGCTTCTGAAATATCAGTGGATAAAAACCTGAAGATGCCTTATATCATCTGCCCACAGAGGCTGTCAACCATACAACAAAACAGTCCTTACTTACACACTGATATACATACCGATCTGGTTTTGACGGAAGACTCACCTGGAACCCAGATGAATCGTTCGTTTGTGATGTTCTTCTCACCGTAGTTTGGTACCTTGGGATCCAGTGATACGCGTTTTTGACGCCACAAGTGAAGGAACTTACTTAGCAAACGTGAGTCATGCACTGGTTTCATCAGACGTAGTAAATCCAACTAAATGCCCTCTGTCATGACATCACTCGTAAGACTCATGAAAGGTACCGGACAAACCTGTTGGGGCCTATCCCCAAATCTCTACCATTCTTTTTTCGTAGGTACAGATAAACGGGGACGAGATGGTCCACCGATGTAGAGCATGAATTTACAAACCTAAAGGTCCGTGGTTCGAGCCCGACTTCCCTTGTCTAGGCTTGGGCAACCTGGCAGTATCCCAGCCCTCGTGCAACCTTCGGGTGGCATGCCAGTTAGGCACCAGAACGGTGTTACAGTTGAACGAACAGATGAACATTCAAGTTGAAATTTTAGCAGAATTTCCCGTTTATAGTAAAATTTGACTGAACGTGCTGCACGTTTCAGCCATGTTTTCCCACGACACTGCTGACGAGGTCGGTGAAAAGTCTCGGACAGCCCACCATTAGTTTCACACTCACCGTCTGTTTGAAAAGTACTCATTCATCCTGTCAGCAATCTGAATAGAGCTCGGTTGCAGTCGCTGTTGCTGAAGCATTCAATTGTGATGAGAGTGGAAATGAACGAAGTTGAGAGGGTCAGCACCAGAAGAAGCCGCTGCTGCGTACTGGAGCAGACTTAGGTCCCATTGAAAAGTGCCAATTTGATACCATATTCTAGTAAACTGTCTTCATGGCGCAGATATGACTATTGCTATGGGAGGGGACACACATCAAGAATGGGAGAAATCGCTTGGTCTGAGGAACAGACAGCCTGGTCAGCCCCAAAAATTCAGTGCGACTTAGCTCCATGTAGCTCAGTGATTATGGCGCGAACTTGTCGATCGGAAGGTCTGTGGTTCGAACCCAAACCCGAGCATCTCGAATGTACCTGTCTGGGCATGGGAAACATGGCAGTATCTCAGCCCGCGTGTTTCTTTCGGGTGGCGTGATAGCTGAATCGAAAAGGTTCTGGGACACAGACCGTGTATGATAAGCATAGTCACGAAAACGCTATCTCAAGATTTGGGGCGAGATAGCTCAGCGCGAATTTACTGACCAGAAGGTCCGTGGTTCGAACCCGATCTCTGCATCTCGACTTCCCTGCCTAGGCTTGGGCAACCTGGCAGTATCCCAGCGCTCGCGCTTCCTTCTGTTGGCAAGTCAGCTAGGCGCCGAAAGGGTGCTACAGCTGAACGACTATTACCCAAGGATCGGACTGCCAACTCAGTTCCTGATGGGTTCAAACGGCTCGTCTTTTCACAGAGTTAGTGTGATCACTCCAACATATCAAACAAGAATTCCCCGACGGAGTGGATGAGTCCGAGAGCTCTTGGGCGTAGTGGAAGTGTGCGTAAAGCCGTCTCATGAGTTCGTCGGTAACCAAAAGAAAGGTACCGCTTTTGAACGATACTTCATCTACCTTTGTTCCTCCTGATGATATTCAACCCTTGCTTGGAGCTTCAGAAGACAGGAACCGCTTCGCGGGCATAATGCTTCGATATCGCATATGAGGCAGCACGACTCACTCTCCCTAAGATTCATGACATATTTTCTCATGTTTGAACGGCTCTCAGTGCGAGCAATGTCGCGCTAAGGAGCAGACTCATTCTAGAAGAGTACTTTAACCCCATCTTGCAACACTATCGTGCCATCGTTTCCGGAAGTGTTGCAGATAACATGGTGTCAATTCCTCACGTGGAAAGCGCAATGAAATGGATGATACTGATGCAGTACTATTACCTCTTACGATTTCAGCAATGAGGAAGATGAAACCGGCCACAACCTAAGTCACACACACGAGACGCAAAACAGTGTCTAAGCCGAGCTGTTCGTTTCTCGGTAACGCGCATGAAGAAATGAACGGCGGAGCACAACAAATAAGCGAGAAGTATATAAACAAATGTTGAAAAGCAGTCAGTAAAACACCAACGTGCGAGGTCAGTGTTTCACGTCCAGGCAGAACAAAACAAGCGTGATCTTTCTTTCCGTTTGAACTGATCGATTGGACCAAAGCAACTAATAGAAAAAACATCGATAAATCGAAACCGCACCACACGTCGGAACATGTTGGACACAGGGGTTACGTTCACTTGTCCACAAGGAATTTGACCTCGTAGGGACGCCGTTTACACGTGTACTTTGGTGTTCTTGAAGACACATCAAAACAATCATCCCCGCCCCGAAAAACGTAGTTCGAACAACCAAAGACGCAGTAATGGGGGAGCTAACAGGAAACGTAATTATAGGCCTGCGTTTTATTTCTCGACTCCATGTGCCGATGATATGTGCTAATGGGTGACGGGACCATCAAGCGAATTATTCCCACTACCGTCTTTAGTCTTGTTCAACAGGTGTACAAGGTCGAATAAGATTATCCGAAAATCAATGAAATCGCTACTGAAGAGGCGTACATGAGGACAAAGGTAACTTGCACTGGACGGAGCGAGAATGGCCCTGACGCGGCACGTTAGGTGGACCAGGGGAACGAAGACGGGTGAGGAGAACCAACTGACAAATATGGCAAGGTCAAAAGTCATAAACACAGTGTTTCAGGGCGGATATGTGCTCTGATTTACTGCAGCATGTGGTTCCCTCATGTTATTTTTCGCCCTTCGGTTTTTTTGAGACATCTCGGGACCTATTCTACGTAGACGACATGGAACTGAGAACGACAACCCTTGTTTCCAAGTGGATCTCATATTTGATCAGGCTTGAAAGCGTGTTTGGGCCCCATGCACTGCTGCAACAGGTGCGACCCTGGAATGAGTATAGCTCAGCAGGTCGTCGCTCTACGAGGATTTCATCGCGTGGGACTAAACGCATCGTAGAGTACCAACGCGGACGAGGTCACTGCACACCAACCAGGTAGTCGGTGAACAACACTACTACTAGGGTTAAGTTATAAGGAGCTGAAATGCCGGATAAACAGGAAAAACGACTTTGGTCATTCCCCTGGTTGATAATTACTGGTGTCACTGTTCTGAAAGAGCGTACTTCGTTTTATCTACATGCCGAACACCTGTTGGCGGGCTTATAACTTCTGACAAGAGGGTCACGTGCCCTTTATCTACAGCCGAACACCTGTTGGCGGGCTTATAACTTCTGACAAGAGGGTCACGTGCCCCATTCTATCTACACCAACCTGAAAATCCCAGTAAGGATAGGAGACATCGTACGGCTGGGTTTTCCAGGATCCGACCACATCTTCACTGTACTGATTCCACCGAGAGAACAAAGAATCCGAATTCGCCTCTACATCACTCTCGTCTGAACAGTTCTTCCCCGAAAGTGGCGCAGTTATTCCGGTAAATTCGCAGTGGACTCGCGTTTCGCCCTCATTAGAGCTCATTCGATGGCTGTGCCGGGGTTTGAACTCCGGACATATGACTTGGAAGGGCAGCGACAAGCGCATGCCGGACGCATATGAATTACGACCTCTGAGTAAGTGAACACGTTCAGGGTTACCAGTGCTTCGGACAGACCCGGCTTTACCTGTCAGGACTTCCCAGCCAGGCGGCACTGAACGGCACTGAAAACCGCCGGCTGGTTTTGATTGGTTGCAGTTGGCTGCATGATTAGCAGAATTCGTATTCATATCGCTCTCGTGTTCCCCATCAGTTCCGTCGCATTCCTTTTGGTTTGTCCTAAGTAAAGAGGAGAAGCACTGGAATCCAATCCGGTGGATGTGATCAGCTTGCACGCTTGTAACCCGTTTTTAGTCACTGGTGATAATAATCGCCCAGCAGTAGCACCCTTTCGGTGTCCAGCTGCCATGCCACCCGAAGGAAGCACGGGGGCTGGGGTACTGCCGGGTTGCCCAAGCCTAGGCAAGAGAAGTCGGGACGCAGAGATCCGGTTCGAACCACGGACCTTCCGGCCAGTAAAATCGCGCTCTAACCACTGATCCATATCACAGTACCTCCGGTCAGTTCGCGAGTCATCCTTCACAGTCCTGTGTGTGTGTGTGTGGAGAACTTCCATGGACATCCGAGAGAGAGAATTCCACAAATCCCACAGCCCCCTAGGACAACTGGACAGCTAGGTCAGTCATGCTCGAGTATTTGAATGGAACCAACGACGACAGCAAAGGCAATAACCAGATGGCACATCATGAATTTACAAAGGGATTCTGGTTCCTCTTACCTTTGTCGGGTCATGGTACCAGGCTCCATCGATGAAGTACTTATACTCATGCGTACCCGGAGTGCAGTCGATAATCACGTACACCCCAGAGTTTCTATGAAGAGGGAAGATAAACGATGGCATGCGTGTTAGATGATCGTTACCGAAAAACAATAACACAGGTTTTCAGAGAGTTACGAAAACAAACAGTTTGTAAGAGGGCGACAGTATGTGGCTTTCGTTTGAGAAAATGTGAAATTTTGTGCTGACAGGCCTTCAAGCTGCACTAGGGCGGTGTGAGAATAGACTACTACTCCACCGAGAGAAAAGCATCCGAAAAAGATCCTGAAGGGGAAAGAGGGCATCTGGCCTCAACTGTGAGAGATGGTTTACGTCTGGGATGTGAATTTATATTGCGTTGCGGCTAAGCTGGGGCACTGTTGTGGGAACTGATGATAAGGAACTTGTCCATAAATTAGTTAGGCAACAAGGAGGCGATCAAAATATCATTTGCCATGAGCTCACCTTTTAACCATTGGGATGCGTTTCTCCCAGTTGTTGAACGTCCCGCTAATATAAATATCTTTTCCTCCACCGTCCCACCGGAACACCGTGGGACATTTGAGTTCGGAATCCGGAGTCTGATGATTGAATCTCTGCTGGTGAGCTGTCCGACGGGCTGGTCGAGCGAATGTGTGAGTCAGCGTGGTCGGTCTGTCCACGGTAACCGGTGAGCTGCAGGTACTGGCTCCTGATTGGGCTAGAAAGAGACGCCGATCAGTTGGACTGGGACAACCGGTGCTAGCCGGCCGGTGCTTGCGCAAAGAATTATCCCGGAGCAATTCGTCTGGATAGGGATCTAAATTCTGGTGGTCTGTAGTGGCGGCGGAGGTTGTGGCAGGTTTGCTCAACGAGGGATGATTATTTATGGAATCACGTAGACTGGCGGCACGTAGCATTGACGTGGCCTCATCAATAGCCATCCGGTCTACGCCGAGAAGTTCTCGAACCGCTGTCGGGGAGGGTTCGACCAACTCTTCCGAATAATCTGGCGGGGCAGATTTGGACAGGTCCTTTACCGAAAGGAATGCATGAGAGATGGAATAATCAATCAACCAGCGGGTTACTCGGCACACGACACAGTAAAATGGCCACAAATAAGCAAATGACTTGAAACTACACCAAATGCAGAACGAAAGGGTAACTAGCAAGTTATGGAATTTGATAGATATTCAGCTGTCTGGATTGCCGAATCGATTGGTGCAAAGCATATTAGAGAAGGTGAGGAATTTCGGATGGGAGAAAGAATAATCATGGGAACATTATGGCACGCTCGATCTGGTGGTTGTTACTGCTCCCGCGTGGGCAAAAGCTAGAACGGCCCATCCATCCTACTACCTCACTAGTTCCAACTTGGAGGGGATTAATTGGGGTAGTGTGTGTGTGTGTGTGTGTTGATTTCTTCGAGTTCATTCAACCCTTTGTGAGGTGGACGCATTGTTGTTGCTTTTCCCGTTGCCTGTCTGTCCTATTATTCGATTTGAAAATCGTTATCGATCGATTCATAAGCCGCATGCTTGTGAACTCTTGCAGTTAGATCTCTCAAGGCGATGAGTTGAACAGTGAAATCAACCCAAAATATCAGATGAACGTTGTTCACATGAATTACTAGAACTCATGTAGTAAGGTAATTGGGGTGTGTGTGTGTGTGTGTGTGGAATGAGATGGTGAATACAGCGTTGCGTAAACTGCAGCGGCAACGAAAGGCAAAATTTCTAACACAACTGTGGCCTGTTTGTGAGAGAACCCCGACGAGGAAGGCAGTGTGTGTGTTGGGGGGTCGAACCATGAGGCAACTGGTTCGTATGACCAGACCTCTAAAATACTCACGGCAAAATGAATTGGAATATACAGAATTTCGTAAGGTCCGTGCTCGTTTCCTAGCTGTTGACCTGAAGCATGACTATCGCCGTGTACAATTCATCCATTGGTAAAACCTGCCAGTGGTTGATCCTCTCACGACAGGTGAACTGAAGGAGACCTAAATCTTCATCCGCCTCCAAACTACTCACAGCTCTTCCAGGTTAAACAGACAGTCTCCTGCTGAGACCTGTTTATCTCGCAGCTTTCAAATAAAGAAGTCTTCGTACTTGATTTTGACTACTCTGGTTCAACTTCGGTCTATCTCGTTGCAGAAAAACACTCATGTATCAGGTTGAAAAGAGCTAAGTCGACGAACTCAGATCGTTCAATCATGTCTCATCAGTTACCACTGTAATGTGGACACAGAAAGAGCACACATAAACGCGTGAGTTCATCTACCAGGTCCAGTATAGAGGATTTTTGGCATCAGTAGTCAACAGCGCAAGCAGAATCATGGGGGAACACTTTAATACAACGTAGGAACAAGGTGGAATCGAATGGGGAACAGGTGAATTTTACGAATCAAAAGTGATGGTTTCCCTCCGAGGTTAATACATTCACTGATCACATGTGCTGCTCCATTTGATATCACAGATTGCCTCATAATATTTTCCACTGTGAGCCATCGTAGATCCAAACGGGACTGCCAGTAAGGTTTCAGTAACAAAACACACTTTCGCAACCGAATGGTCTAGCGGTAGACCAAGCGCTGAGCCACGTGACTTTTTAAACATTGATCTTTCACGCTTTTTAGGGCTCATCACACGTGACACGACGACCTCTGAACCTTCCGTCTGACATCACGGGAATGACTGACGAGCCAAGAATGGAAAGTTTGAAAAATAAGTGTGTTTATCGACCGCCGGATTATGAAGATGGAACCGCTTTCCATATGAATATCAAATGAGACCATAATCATCGATCCAAACTGAACTATGCTGCGATGTTTGGACCCATTATTCCAGCAGAGTCTTTATTCCTTTGGCAAAGGTCTCTCGGGCGGTAACTATTGCTTCACTCACCAAACTGGTTTCCCTTCCAACACGAGCTTCCGATCAAATTGATGGTCCTATCGAATCTCAGATATCTGCTTTCTTCATTCAAGGTTGTGCTTCGCTCCGTTCTCTTCTCACCTGTACGTACCATCTGTATTCAAACCGAGGCTCAGTTACGACTGGAACCAGATGAAAATGGCGGCAGGTTACCACACCTGGATAACGTCGAGCTGCAGTCTACCGTCCAACCACTACTGGTGAGGCTGATGTGCTTGTTCGAAATCGCCACAAGAGTGCAATTCAAATCATGAATCGAATCGAAAACGGATTAAAAACGGCACGGTTGGGCAAGTCTGGTCAGACGGTCCGAACATGTACGTAGGTGGAGGCAACGCGATAGGTTCGGTGAGTGTAGACGCGACACGTCCAGACCAAGTGCGCGAATGGCGATGAGGGAGAGCGAACGAGCGAGCGATCAATTAGTGTTGAAAACAGTGGTGTGGGAAATTTGCGAGCAATTTTCTGGTGTTTCCCACAAATTCATTTGCATCCCACATCATATATGTATATAATGTGTATTCTTAGTTAGTTTTCAGCCTTCGTCTGTGGCTACGTACGTCGGACGATCCTTCAAGTTCCGAGGGTTATGATGAAGTTCTTTGTAATGGTGAAGGGCAAAATTGACTGAAATTAGCGGACTAGGACAATCTGATGAGTCACGAGGAGGACGAAACCGATAGTGATGAGTTTTCGCTAATCTTGTGCACAGTACTCATGAGATTGCTGAAAGCTCTTCGAAAGTTTACCACCGGTTTTGCCATACTTTGGTCTCATCAGGTAAGTGGAGTCTCTTAGTTCGCGTCATGAAAAATAAAATTCAAATCGTTCAGCTGTAGCACCCGTTTGATGTCCAGCTGCCATGCTACACGAAGGAGGCACGAGGGCTGGGATACTGTCAGGTCGCCCAAGCCTAGACAGGGAAAGTTGAGGAGCAGAGGTCGGGTTCGAACGACGGACATTCCGGTCAGTAAATTCGCGCTCTAACCATTTGGTCTATCTCGCCCCCCTAGTTTACGTCAAACTCAACCCAAATTGAACACGGTTCGCAGAATGCACTCATTCGCAAACTAATTTAGTATTAACGAGGGATTCCACTAATCTCTCTCGTTTATGATATGGAAAAAATCGCTCAGCTGTGACACCCTTTCGGGGCCTAGCTGTCATACCAGCCGAAGGAAGCACGAGGGCTGGGATACTGGCAGGTTACCCAAGCGTATAGAGGCCGGGTTTGAACCAGACCTTCCGGTCAGTAAATTCGCGCTCCAACCACTTGAGCCATCTCCCCCCTCAACCGGCTCTAGCTATTGAGCCATGTCAAGGTCAAAGTCCTACAAGATGGTGCTTCACGAACGCGTCTCGGTGTCGCTAGGAAGAGCACAATGCGGCAGATGTACCGGCCCTACTGAACCTGCGTTGACTCTACTGCCGCCCCTAACCGTTGCAAGGCTGTAGTCGATAGGAAGTCGCGATTAATCGATAGGCTGATCAAACGCGCCAACTGCAATCAGACCAAGACGGTCGTAGTCTCCTGATCCGTCTCATTCGATCTGAACAGCAATCGAGAATGCAATTTCTATGACCCCATTCTTTTCATCACATCTACTTCTAGGATACATCAACTCAAACAAGGATTCTTTTGATAGAGGGGCGCGATCAGCAAGCAACTCACCAGTAGACCGGAGTTTGGAGTGCGTATAGATAAATTATCAACTTATCAAGGCTGCCACCCGATCAGCGACAAAGCAACCAATCGCCTTAAATTAGTTTCAAAAACAAAGAGGTCCACTTACTTTGAACTGTGAATGAACAATATGGAAAGTGAAAAATTTGGCACGATACCAGATTACAAAAAGTTGGCAAACTCTACTAAACCGGGCTCAAACTATAGCTTGACGAGAGAGAACAGCCCCCGAAGGACGGGAATTAGTTCTGTTATTGTTCCAACAGCAGATGAGTGGAGAGTGAGCGTCATTGTTCGGATTGAGACTACTGATCGTAAAACAGCAATGCGTCATTTACGAATCAAGTCAGCTTAAACCTCATCCGAGCTCAAGATAGCTCAGCGGTTAACGTGAGAACTTGGTGATCGGAAGGTTCGAACCTAAAGTCGGTATCTCGACTGCTCCTGAGCAATCTGGCAGCCTATCTGAGCGCTCGTGCTTCCTTCTAGTGTCATGGCAGCTGGGCACCGAAAGTGTGTTACAACTGTTATCAAACCTTATCCGTGGTTAAAGCCAAATATTGGGTGGCTGTGTGGTGAAAACTTGCCAGACGAGTTTCGATTAAGGGCTGGGCTATGGCAGGCGAGTGGTGATACGGCTTGCTGCGCAGTGACCGATAGCTGTTACTTGGAGCGTTGAGTAATACGGATTCGCCCGAAATCTTGGCCCCGGCGGACGGGAGTTACAATCAGTCGCAGAAAGTAAAAGCATTTGAATTTATCGCCTATTTGAAATAAGCACTTGTGGACGTAACAAACTACCAGCAAAATTGCTGAAAACTTTTCGATATCATCATGATCATGATCATCATTGTCAGCTGTAAGAACCGCGTACTTATTGCACAGTGGTTGTAGCAGTCACAGTTTCGTTCACCGATGATTTGGGGAGGTGGGGTAGATAGCTGCATATTGGAGGCGAGCTGATGAATTGTGCGTAAATACAGCACTGTCAGTGGACTGTTAAGCGGGGGAATTGGGAAGGAAGCTATGCATTGAAGGCGACAGCCTGGATGCACGAGGGCGCGACTGGGCCATTTCTGACAATGTCTCCAACCATTGATGTGGCCGTCTCAGGGTCCCCATCCAGGAAGACAGCAATGACCAGCGCATCCGAATTTGCTCGTAATGGCTTTTATACTTCACTGCCAAGTCATTGTTTGACCGCCTCTGACTTGTTTCCACCCGTCACGTGGTTGTGGAAAAAGAACCCTCCGGGGAATTCGGTCGACTGGCATACGAAGTGCGGGACCAAGCTTGCGCGACCTGGGCAGTGTGATCAGTTCATCTATCGAGTTATTTCTTCCGAATACCATTCGATGTACTTCAGCATTGCTGATCCGGTGTTCCCACCAAATTCGTGCGATGCTCCGAAGAC